TAACTTCATTGCTAATAGTAAAAACAGATTATGCAACTAAATTATATGGTCTGCAGCCTCCTCCCATATTTATTAACATCTGGGATATTTCATCTAAATAGAACTTAATGGATGACTCCACCTCATGTGCATTTGAGTTCTACTGGAGAACTTCTAGTGAAAGGAATTGAAAGAATTAGATTTAGACATACACACAGCTCCATGTGCTACACGTAGAAAGCAGCTTATTGCTTGTACACTGATTTATCCAGCCCATGTGACCAAAGCATATGTGCTAAGATAATTCAAATTTATTTATTCAACATCAGCAGTATTGACGTTTTTTTTCAGTTACAAAGAGATTTTAAAAATCCTGACGGTTACAAAGCATGTTCATTTTGTCTAGTGCTCATCACAATACTATGAGATTCTTCAATGTTCGTGACACAAATCCTTTTCTCTCCCTCAGAACTCATTTTAGATTAAGCCATTAGATCTCACAGCTGCAGCTTAATGTAAGGATTTTAGGTCACATCAGAACTTACCCTTTTCCAAGAACGGTTTTAATCTTTGTGTAGTACTTGAATATGCTTCCTATAATTATGTATCAAGTGTTATTGCAGCTATATTTCAGATTTTACATACGTAAGAAAATGCTATATTATTTCAATACTGATGGCAGAATAAAAATCTATTCAAAATTCACCTTTCAAGGAGCACAATCAAATATCCAAGAACCCTATTAGACTTGCTCAGCAGAAAGTTTCAAACTGTTAATGGGCTTTAAATTGGTGCCATAATGCTGCAATTTAAATACATGATGTTCATTAATTTTGCTTGAACTCTTTGTAGAGAACTAGCAGCATGAAAGAGGGAGGAAGATTATATTTTCCATACCTGCTCCTTTTTAGCTGCTTGCCTCGATACACAAGAATTATTGCATACCTTGGGGCAGGTAGATGAAGTTTACTCAAAAGACAATAGGCTTACATTTGCTAACCACTCCGGAGCTATATCACAATAAAAATTTCTATTAAAATATACCAGGAGCAGGAAGAAGATAAAAAGAAGTAACACGATAGACATAGCATTTATTGAAGATGATATCTTTTTTTCAGCTGGGACAGAACTGTTCTTTTCAGAGTGTCTGGTACTGTGATATGCTTTGGTTCGAAGAATAAAACGGTATTGATAACACACTGATTGTTATAGTTGCTGCTAAGCAGTGTTGTGTACAACCAAGGCCACTCCAGTTTCTCAGCAAAGGGCTGGGCAGAGGCCCAAGTAGCTGAGAGGGGACAGAATTAGGACAGCTAACTTAAACTGGCCAAAGGAATTCTCCATGCTGTATGAAATCATGCAGAAAGAGAGTATTGAAGTGGGTGGGAGGTTATCTTCCTTCTACTGCTAAGGGGCTGGCTGAGCATTGGTCAGGGGATAGTGAGCAATGGCTTGTGCAGCACATGTTCCATACATAGAGAGAGAGAAAGTCATTGCTATTATCATTTTCCTTTTGTCTATCTTATTAAATAGTATGCATCTCAATCCATGAGTTCTACTTTGTGCTTTTGGTGTTGATTTTTTTGTTTGTTTGTTTGTTTGTTTGTTTCTGATTCTCTTCCTCATTCCACTGGGAAGAGGGGGAGTGAGAAAATGACGGTGTGGTGCTGAGCCACCTGCAGGGTTAAACCACAAAAAATAGATTTAATCATTTCAGAATCAATCACCACAATCCAAAAGGTGCAAAAGAGACAAAACAAGGGACAGAAAAGATAGCAAAGGTCATCTTACCCATATACAGATAGATATAGATATACATCTATACCCATATTCATGTACTTGAATGAGAGAGCAACACTGCATATCAGGCAGCCATCCTCTCAAATCTCAAGGAATTCTCTCAAATGGGGGCACTGAAAAGGGAGAAAAGATCTCATCGTGGAGGGCTAAACTAAAGAATCCTCTGTACTTAAGGAGAGGAAAGGGACTGGATGTAAGATTTCTGTGAGGAATCATCTATTTCAGAAATATCTCAAAATCCAAATTTAAATGTGTCTAGACATGATGGGTCGGTATAGCACAACACTTCACATCTATTTATACTTCAAATATACTATGTTTACTGTACATAAACTCCATTTTTCTAAAGCTGTTTCTATAGATACAAATCAAGGGAAACATAGCAACAATATTGTATTATGCACAGCCTTAATTAGGGATTAAGTTATGTCTCTCTTCACAGTTTATATTAAATATTCCTGTATAATCCAGTTATAGTAATCTTAAAATGTTTTCAGAATTTTTTATAACAAAAATTTCATACAATTATACTGTCAAGTCAAATACACAGCATACTTGAAATGTGTCTTTACCACATTATTCTGATCATAACTAATAATATACAGGTTGCTTGCTTTCACTTGAGGTGCAAATGTTCATATTACAACTTTTTCAGAGCTTGTTTAATAAAAGGAAATGACCTCCTTAGCCCTAACCACCAAGAAACTGATGAGCCATCATCTTATAAGGTTTCCAATCTCATTCCATTCAGCCTTACCCTGAAAGAAGTAAACTTCTCCTAACTTTGCCTTCTTTTACCCAGGGGTTAAAGATGATTGTTATGTTTTCCTTTTCCCTTTTTCCTCAGAGAATAATTATATGAGGTAGGAATGGGAAAGGAATAATAGAAATTGACTGGGCTGGTGCTCAGTGCTTTGATTGCTGTGTTTGGTTGACTAAGTGCATGTACCATTTTAAAACACAGAGAAGTTGGGGTGTTGCATGCAGCCAGGCATGCTGCCACGGAGTGGAGCCTGAGAGGAGCAGGTAAAGAAGAACAGAGAAACAGTAAAGAAAGAAAAAAAATGTTGGATTTGGCTGAGGAACAGCAGGCAGCATTATCAGACAGCAGGATACATGTAGGAGCTGGTAGGGTGGCAGGCTTCAAAAGACACCCTAGAAGACGATCAACATATGCAATGAGTGTGCACACATTCTCTCAACAAGAAAGGAAAGGTAATTCATATTCTTAAAATTATTTTCTCTGTTATCTTCCCTTCTATTGTGCAATTTTCTAATAACACATTATGCTAGAGTTCCCCCACCTTTTGGTCCTTACCTACCGATGAAGTGACATGAGTCCTTTTTTATAAAAACCTTAGCTACATTTGCTTTGGGCATTAGCAGCACTCACAGAATGGACCTTATATAATCTAGCAGCACAAAAAGACCAGAAAAGAATATATGAACCTAATGAAATGAACAGAAATTGAGAAAGAAATGAGAAGTATGTGTCCAAACTGAACAACTGAGATTTTCCAGCCATCTTAACACAAATAATGTAAATGCATATTTACATCCTTCTATAAAGCAATCTGCATTATAAAAATTGTACTGCCAGAAAAGGTCTGAGCACGGGTTAGGAACATGAGATGCGTAAAATCTTTTCACATGGGCAGCATGATAAAACTTTCCCCACACAGGGAATAATTAAAACAGAAGATAGTGCATTCACAATTAGCAGGGCATGTTCTGTTTCTTCATTATCATTTTAATTAGAAAATATTAACGTAATCTACAAATACAAGGGGGAAAACAACTAAAATTACTGAGTTTAAGGGGCCCTTCAAGACCTAAGCTAAATTGAGACAAATGTCTTACTAATCCATATTGGACACCAAATTTCAAGACATTCATTTCCATTTAACATCAGAACTTCCAAGAGTATTATCAAATTTAAGAATGAATTAAGGGTCCCACAAGATATAAGTAACCTATGATGAAGGCAGTGGTGAATAAAAATGGATTAGATGCTCCTCTCCTCTCCTCTCCAGTTATCAGTTCAGTCTGATAGTGATCAATTGGCCCTGGCAGCTCTATCTCATTCAGATTCCACACCTGCAGCCTTGACATTCACATAACACAGCGGCACACTGAACTGCCCTCTCATTTCAAGTGGGTACCAAGTCCTTTCATATTTGAGATATGCTGGATGAGGCCTTACGCTCTTTGAACTCAGCAGCAGAGCTCCCATTCACTTCACTGAGACTAGGATTCTCCCTGACTCAAACAAATTTCCTTTCTGGCACTTGTCCTTTTTCTGCTCTGTAGATAAAGTATTTTGTCATCCAATGCACTCAAAGCTGCATCTTATGCAGACAACAATTAGAAGCTACCTCCTAAAGACAACAGTTCTTCCTCATTCTGATTTTCATTTTTAACATACTAACAGTAAAATAATAAATGATTTGTCCAGTGTACTTGTAGGATTGAATATCGTGAAGCAGTAAAGTCTTATAAACTATTATAAATAGTACAAAAACAGAGAGGGGAAAATTTTCCAGAAGAAACACCACCACCACAGGGAACTAGTAATTTTATTAGGTATTTGCCAACTAAGATAGTTCAAAGCTGAAGTCCCTGTAACATACCTTTTTATCAAACTGCTAAGTATGTATTTTGCAAGGCAGCTACGGGTCAACACACTTCATAAATATGGACAAGAGATAGCAAGTTTTAAGTAGCAAATTTCAGAAAAATCCGGTCCATCTCTAGCTCCGCTCCTTCTCTATGCTCACAAATGTTTGTTTCACAAATCACTCTGTTTTCTTCTTCTACGCACACAGAAACATAGATAACTACTTCTTCCTTTGGTGTCTTAAGAAAAATTGTTTTCTTTTGTTTTTAGAATTTCTATTAAAAAACGCACAGGAAGAGTTCATGCATATGGACTGAAGTCTTGGAAATTCATTAGAAAACTTCTCTTTCTTGTGTAAAAGCCAGTCTTAATCATATCCAAGCACAATTTTTGAGACCAGATCACTTTTTGATCCACTTCAGACATTGCAAAAATTCAAATCATTCAGTAGTCATTTGAATGGTAGCACAGTTTTAAGAGACACTTAGCTCAGAAACATTGCCAACTTCTTTTTGTTTTCCCACTGGGCAGTGGAAAGCAGTAATGAGGGATCAAAGAGAGATCTACTGGTCCACTTTGCTGCTTTTTTAATACCAAAACTTACCTCTTGTGTTTTCACGTTTACATATCCATAGTGAGTTCTCAGAAGCTGCCTTTGGCCATTAGAAAATGGTATCCACTTGACACTGGTTTGTCCAAAGCAGTTTAGAATCAAGGGGAAAGTGACTTCATTTGTGAGACGAACAATGATCAGACAGAGGAATGCTGCAATGAAACTCACGGCAACAACAGACTTTCTCTGTAATGAAAAGAAAATAAATCATTAAAATAAGATATATATATATTTAAATTTACAAAAAAAAGTATCTCCTATTGGATGATAGGGAAAAATCCTACAGAAAACTTTATGTAAAATTATTTTGTATGACTGTCACCTTGCTGCAGGAGCACAAAGAGACAGGTGTACTGGGTCATTTTGCTTCAGTGAATACACAAAGAGAAAACACCATTTGTACCCATATCACATAAAGCTTATTTGGAAGAGGAAGATCATTGCAGGTTTTGTTCTTGTGCAAAAGAATTTACACTCTAACCTTAAATATTTTAAAACAAATGGTTGGTGAAGTTAGCACAATATTCTGTTTATTACAGAATCACAGATTTACAAAGGAAGGCATTGGTATCTTGGACAAGATGTTCTTTGTTGCTATTAATATAACAAATCTGAAGTCTGTATCTTAATTAACCTTTGCTTTCCACCTTTAACCTATCCAGCTGGTTGGACTGGTTAATGTAACTCAAAAAACACACAAACTTTTTTCCCTGGGTAAGTCCTCAATCTGCTGGAGAAAAACTTAAAGAAAGCTAAAAATGAGGGAAAAAATTTACTGTTTAAAATATTGCAGCCATTTTTTCCTAGCTACTGAAAAAAAAAAAAAAAAAAGCAAGAATCACAGCACACAGAAAATCTGAAGGAACATTAGCAAAATAATACATTACAATGGATGTCAACAGCATGGCTCTGTCTGTTGTGAAGAGTTAGGAGGCTGCAATTAGTACCAAAGTAGAAAAAAAAGGCTGAGATAGGAAACCTGGATGAATGAGGTCACCACAAGGAGAAAAGGAAGAGGATGATGAAGGGCAGTGTCCTGGCAATGGGAATCAGTGAGGAATCTGAGTCAGCTAATGTCTGTTTAATGTGAAATTAAACCCAGCAAATCTTCAGAGGTCACTGTAACCACCACAACCCAATCATGGCTCTCAGCATCCAAGGAAGATACTGCACTTTTCATCAGCTGCATTACAATAGATTTATATTAAATTGCAATAAACTGGCTAGGGAGCACTTCTGTGTCACTTCTCTTTGTGCCAGATGGAGACAGAAACATTTAGCTATATATCAGGGCCTCGTAAGTGTTAAGAGCAGCTGATACGTGAAGCACAAGTGATAATCATAAAGCAGCAAAAAAGCATAGATTAGTCATATTATTTATTGCAAGTATTTAAAAGGGAATCTAGGTATTTATTCCACTACAATGAGATGCTTCAATCAAAATCTCCACAATAGGAAGAAGTGATACTGCCCTACAGGATGCCACTGATTTCCACATATTCTATGCTTTTGGTTTGTCAAATGCCACTCTTTACTTATTTTGTGCAGATATGTTCCAAACTTGAAAACATTGCAATCAGCTCTGTGTGCTTCATGAAAGCAGCTTTCCTCAATAACCTCTGCCCCAAGAAGAATGCGGGTGGGGTATCTAAACCTTTTGGCCTTCATTAGGATGCCATGTGGTTTTTATATTCCTTCTCTTTGAAAACACTGCAACAGGGAAGAGGGAAAGTACAGATTTCTTTAGTTTTGTCATAAGAAAATGTTGTTCGAAGAAGAAAAATGCAAAGAAAGTTCTATAGGGTGCTTAGCCACAAAGAACCTGCTGTGATTGGAACTGCATGATGAAAGGAATGGATTTGTTTTTGCAACAGGCAGAAATCAAGGCATGTGTTTCAAGGGTTTCAAAGAAATCTTGGCATATGTGAACAGAATGCCTGCTCAACAACTTGTACAAAGGGCAACTGTGTTCAAGAGCCACTTCCACTGCAATTTTTATGGAAGGTAAGAGATCAAGCAATTTGCATTCTCCAAAGGAAAAATTATTACAAATCAGAATTTCACCGACTTTATAAATTTCACAGTAAAAATATTAACATACAAACAATCATCTACTTAAAAATTTCAGCCTTCTTAAAGATCAAGAAAGGCAGCCTGCTCTCTGGCCAAGTCTGCTAATGGGCACCTTCATAAAACATTGGTTCCCCTTAAGTTCCTCCCTCTTTTATCTGCTGAAGGAAAAATAAAAGAAATCGGCATTATTTGTCGGTAAGCACAGCCCGTAGGATCTCCCTTCCTGCAGATAAAGGCTTTTTCCAGATGACTGCCAGAGATCCCAGGAATTGTTCAGACACAACAGAGATGTGTGTGGATGCATATCAGTCTCTAATCCATCTCCAACTTTTCCCTAACACTGAAATATCTTGTGCGTAAATCTCGATCTTTACGTTTTCTAATTCAGTGTAGATGTTTTTGTGCTGCTAATATTGTAATTAAAATGCATATTTAGTTATAAGCATTTTTGAGACATATTCAGTGATGAATAAACTAAGAAATTTTTAATCAAATGGATCGCTGATGACTCACCGCATATTGGCTTTTATAGCATTCCATTTCATTCCCTGAAGTTACACACTGGACCAGTATAAATGACAGTTGCAAGAATAAAAAAAATACCTATGAATAGAGAATCCTTTTGGAAGAGTGGGGGGCTTTGTTGCTTAATTATATTGAGTCAAAGTAGACGGACATTACCGTGTGTTCTGATCTGCACTGCACCCATGCAGTACAATACCTGAGACCCCACTGGGTAGAAAACAACATTAGAGTTATTTCTTTTCAACTCTTTTTGTTCAATATCTGCAGTAATAGAAACCTTTTTTCAGTTTTGGTTTTTTCCTTAGACACCAGGCTAACTGTCAAGAGCATATATCAAAATCAATAAGCAATAGGCATGATTCAGTCTTCTAAAGCTTGAACTTACATATTGTTCAAGAGATGAAATGAAAACAGGGCTGCCATTCTGGTTAGGATTTCATGAAAATTTGGTGGCAATTATCCCCAGTACTTTCCTGTGTATGTGTGTATATATGTATTATATAATATTATGTATATAATATATGTACATATATGAGTAACATGGTGCCTATTGCTATTTTATAACCTTCACATCTGTTTTTGACTGTTTACCAGTGCAGGGGAGATTCATTAACTTCAGTTTGGCAAGAAATTTACAGCTGAGCAAGTCTGTCATTTTTCTTTCTTAATCTTTTAAGAAGCACAGAGAAGACAAGGCCATTTTTTATAGTTCAATAATATCTGATGGAAGAATGAGACAATTTTTTGTGTTGTATACAGTTGTGTAGCTGGGAGGAAGAAGGGAAGTACTTGCAGGATAAGCAGAGAATTTTCTCTAGTTATAAATTTTACAGAGGTATCTAGTAAAATCTTTATTATGCTTTCTAGACCAACAGCAACACTCTGCCATTTCTAACATATAATATGGCAAAGATTGTCAAAACACTTTACAAACAATAATAATCTCTCACCCTAGTGAGACAAATAGCTAAAAACAAAGCAAAACAAACAAACAAAAAAAACCCAACACTTCCTTAAGATCACAAAGAAATCACAGAATCTACTTCTAAACTTTCTTTCTAGAAAATGTTACCTCTCTGGATTGTTATTTCTATTATTTCTGCCTGAATTTATTACATGCCAGAACAGAATATAACAGTATGGAAGACTCCAGTAAAGAAACACTGGAACTGCTAAGGCTCTGTTCTACAAACAGTAATTGAATATAAATATTTTTTCCAGAAATTGATTTTTTTAAAGCATTCATTTCATTCGTTCTCTTCATGGATACATAATGACACTGTGCTTGGAAGGACAAATGAAAGGTAAAGAGTTACACAAGGTTTTATGTATCGTAGATGACAATATGTAGTAAAAATTACAGGTATATTGAATAACTCAGTCACTTTAATATCTCCGCACATCCAACTACCACTACTGAGGGACTGATGGAGGGTTTCAGGCTTTTTATTCAAGTGTAACACCAACTGAAAACAATAATGGCTACACTTACTGAATTTGTTTCGTTTTGTAGACCACTATATGGAAAAACTAGCTTTATTTAATTTTCTCTTTTATAGTCTTCAGTATCCTCTTCAAATACTGCTTTCTGTTACAGCAGAGCATAAAATGGAATTCTTTCAACACACCACTTCAAAATACCTTATGATTTCACCAGTTCTGGAAATAAATACACCTTCCAGCTATTCCTTTAGTCCAAACCACCCTCTAACAGGACTGCTGGAGGGATGCTCAGGCAGGGGTCCTGAAACTTTTCAGAGAGGAGCAAGACTACACAGTAAAGATCCATTTAGAAAGAGACATGTATCCAACACTATTTGCATAAAATCGGTAGCTGAGGATTTACTTTTCTCTCCTCCAGAAGTGAAAGTTAATATGAATAGGTTCAAAGGCAGCACTGGAGAGAGCTGTCAATGTTTTCGCTCTCAGGAGAACAAGCTGAGCAGGTAGGGGGTTATGTGAGAAGGATGTATTTTGAGTTAAAAAAAAAAAAAAAAAAGAGTAAAACTAAAATTAAAGTTGTCTTTTTTTTTTTTTTTCTGGAAAAGGGGACCTTTACTGACCTGAAATTTAAGCAGCCAGGAAACAGTGTGTCTGAATTAATCTTTGAAACTAACATTTAGACAAAGAAATAAAAATGTTCACATGGCATACAGCACTTCAAGGCAGCAAACTTGTGAGAAACTGGAGATACGTGAAAGAGTTTGTATTTGCTGGACAGTTGCACCATGGTTCAATCTACCTGATGAGCTAATTTTCCAGTAAATGAGCAGTATGCTTTCTGCTGGACATACAGCAAATTCATTTCTAGGATGTTTCTATTTGGGTTTGTTTTTGGATGAAGGTATGAGGAACTCATGAAGATACTTTTTATAGTATATATTACCACAGTATTGTAGTATAGAGGATTTCATGTAGGATGCAGATCAACTGTGTTAAATGCCATACACACAAAGGCAGACTCAAGTTTACGATCCAAGAGAAAAATGGTAGTGAGGCCCACATTTTACACATCTCATTTCTAGATGGGGCTGCACTGAAGACTGCAGTAGCTATACTAACCTGGACAGGCAAATAGCCCATACATT